CTAACACGCGATCTAACTGAGATCACATTCCAGCAGATGAACTGAAGCTGAGCCTTAAGCACTCAGCGTGACTACCACATTAATTGTTTTACTTTATTTGAGTTCCATGTGTTTAGCTGTGAGAGGAAAAGGTCACTATCAGTAGGGGCTCCAAGTTCCTATGTTCCTGTCCTGGTTGTCTGTGGCTGGAATTAGAGCAAATGTGGTCACATGAAAAGGCTCCCTAGTTACACACAGAAAAACAAAACCACATCTCTCCACCAAGGTGATTGCTTATAGCAACATTTAAGGCTTATTTCTAAAACAACTAACAAAATAAACACAAAAGCTACAATTCAACATCTTTTTCAGAAATCCTTGGCCGTTATTAAATAGGTTCTAGAAAATTCCTTCATCTCATGCATAGTCACTAAGCAGAGCAATCCTCTGTAATTTATCCATCTTAAATTGATTAATCATAAGACATCTTCCTCAGCAGTTCCCACTTTGGCCCTGGGCCCACACACAGATGCAATCTCATCTTTCCCATGGCCAATTTCTTCATAACCTCCCAACATGGCAGTACTTCCAAGTGGCCACAAAGACCTGAGTTCACTTTCTGCCTGAAACTCCTACCCCACAAACACATTAGAATCAGAAAAGAAAACCAGTAAAATTAAACTGCTGTGAAAAGATGCTGATTTAAGCAAAATCCCTAACTCCTTTGGAAGTCAGAATGATTCTTTGCTGTCGCTTTAGCTAACAAGATCCCCACCTCTCCTGATAAGTACCTTAGCATCGTTTATGAACTGAAATTTTCATTCACTCTTCTTCAATAACTATGACTTTATAGCCTACTTTTACTAGGAATCTGGGAGTTATAAAACATCTATCTACACCTAAAAGAGCAAGCATTGCTTCTAGAACATTCATCAATGAGAGAGAGAGAGAGAGAGAGAGAGAGAGAGAGAGAGAGAGAGAGAGAGATATTGAAAATGAAGAATCTAAGCACTCTCTCACATACTTATTTATGTGAGATAAGGAGAGGTGGACCATTCTATTCATTAAAGGACAGAACTTTATTTTTTAAATATTCATTCACAGGGAGTAACATAGTATGAGGGAAGCGGCTGGGGCTCTGGACTTTGTCCATTGTGAGCTTGAATCTTGAGTATTAATTAAGGCCTGGGCTTCTGCTCTCCCATCTGTCAAATGGGAGTCATATTATCATCTGTGAACAAAGAGGACAGTTATCATTAACCACAGGAAAATGGTGACAGCAATATAATTGAAATGCATTTATACAAAATACTATATCTAACCCATGATTTGGAGAGAGAGAGAGAGAGAGAACAATGAATGGGAACTAACAAGTTACAATAAACCTATTTGGATGCTTCAAAAAGGTTCTACGAGCCTAGAGAGATAGAACTTGATCTGCAAGGATCCATATGGAAAAGCCTGGTGTGATGGTAATACTGTGCTGGGGAAGTGAAGTCAGGTGGATCCTTGGGGTTTGCTGGTCAGCCTAACTAGCCTAATTCAATGAGTTCCAGGCCAATGAGAGATGCTGTCCTCAAAAATCAAAGTGGATGCTTCCTGAATAATGACACCTGAGATTGAATTCTGATCTACACACCGTCACCACCACCACCACCACCACCACCACCACCACCACCCACACACAAGCACACACACGCACGCGCGCGCGTGCGCACACACACACACACACACACACACACACACACACACACACACTCAGGCTCAAAGTGTTTAAAAAATGGAGACAGATGAGCAGGAGCATTAGAATTAGATGATGTCCATTCATTCGTTCTTGGTTGAGTTGCTCATCATCTAAGTGAAGTATTTCATTCCCTGCATCTCAGTTTCCTCTCCTGTAAATGACACAGTGCCCTGCCCTCCATCTGCCTTTTTTATCTCTCTGAACTGTTAATGGATTGATATAAGAATGAAATGCCTTTTGTAAAGCTGATAGTGAAGGCTGACTGCAGGTGGGCTTCACATGGACAATGTTACCCTAGCCAGCGAAGCCCACCCAGGTCCAAACACCTGGTGTTGGGAGTGTTAATCTTCATATGCAGCTTGGATGACAGTGTTTATGCAGAGAAGGCTGAAGCAAAGCAGGGCATGAGGCACGTGATGAGAGAGCAACGCTTCCATATGTGTCTTTAAAGGTGTGCATTGTGCCCGCTTGGGAAATGATCTTGCGTGCAAACTAGAAGAAGGTGAGACACAGTTCTGGAGATTTTATTGCAAACAATGAAAAGTAGCAATAGAGGTGTGGAGGGAAGGAGCAAGCAGTGGAGGCAGGGGACTCGGAGTTTAGAGTTTAAAGTTTACCACAGGGTTTCCACTTCTCATTATTAGACCTAATATTTCAAGTTTAGCATGTGCAGGAGAATAATGTGCCACTGACCACAGTCTAAAACCTCCAAATATTATTTGCAGGGTGTCTAGGCTCCTCTGTCTCAGGCCTGTCTGGTGCTTTGAGAGAGAAATCAGGCTCTTTTCCTTGTGTGCAAAGGGCCAGCAGTCTCCACGGAAGATTGCTGTTTTTAGAACTGATGATAAATGTGTGTGAGGAGTCCCATTAAGCTGGGAATTCCTTTGAAATTCGCATTTCTCTTTCTCTCAGTTGTCCATAGATAGATCTTGGCCACATTTGGCTATGAAAGCTCTTCAGCCTGACTCCCCCTTGAGAGGCATGTTCTTTTTTGAAAGGAGCTTTTTTAAAAAGTGAAGGCTGTTTTTTTCACTCAGAATAAGAATATTCTCCAGCAGTGAGGGTATTGAAGTAACAGGATCCATATGTTGAGGCCGACAGCTAATGCTGAGCATATGGGCCAGTGAACTTGGCAGACAGAAGTATGCCTCTGCTTTTAGACAATGCCCTGGAAACTCCACCAAAGAAATATTGCTCAGGTGAGTCATGGCGGAGGCACAGCTCCTGGACTTCAAAGTACCATCCATTCCATGAAGTGTGAGCCACCAAGAGCAACGAAAGAGGTTCTAGTTGGCCTTCAAATTCATAGCTCTGGCCCGTAGCCTTCTCTATTAAAGCCCCAAGCTCTCAGAACAGCAGAGGGGCTTAACCCTGGGCTTTCTATACTCCCTAAGAAATGGCCATGCTAAGCATACCCAGATGTTTTCTAACATTCAGTGGGAACATCTTTCCTCATCACAAAGATCATACTGCCAAGTGAGCAAGAACTTACCTGAAAGCCAGGAGGCCTGGGCTCCACAACATGGGCCTATAACTCCAAATGACTGTAAGGAAACACTTCATGGCTCCTCCCTGTCTGGAAAGTGAAGAGGCAGGTCAGGGTGACCTCTGAGACCCCTTCCAAATGTCCCAGTGTGGAATTGAGCAGCACCTATGTCCAGCTAGAGAGGTTGAGAAAAGCAACCCCAGCTGGTTGCATCTGGACGAGTGGACTCGGCCCTGGCCACTGTCATGTCCCAGTACAGCTGTATGTGCCAAAGGCTATGCACAGAAAGGTGGAGGTCGGGGAGGGCAAGATCTTGGGTAAGAATTAAGCCTTGACCCCCAGACTGGTTGGCAACAGCAAAGTGGAGGTGGTAACATTCCCTAGATTATTTTACTATTTCCTCCAGTTCCGTGTTTGACTGTGCCCACTCCCAGGCTCTCATCCGTAGAGGGGAGCTCAGCCCCCTCCCCTCCTTGACCCTGAACCCTTTTCCTTACCCCTTTCCTCCTTCCATTTTTCTTTCTCCATGCTGGCTCCACTTCACCCCATTTCCCCCTAAAACCTCTGCTGAATTTCTCAGGACCTGCCTTGTCTGTCAGTGGGATGGTTAGGAAAGCTTTCCCCCCACTGCTCTGCTCCCCCCCCCCCACACACACACCCTGTGCATTCCCTTTCCAGCCCCAGGCAGGCCCTTTGATCCCTGTATTCTGCTGAGCACAACTGTGGTCTCTTGTCTCATGAGCCCATACTCAGAGCTGCTGCACCAGCCCTGCCTGCAAGCTGGTCACCATGGCAACGTGCTTTCCCTCCATTATACTGTGAACAGAAAATGGCTGTTGGAAGGAAGAGCTCAGAGTCTCTATGGCCCAGCCTGTTTGTTGTTTTTTGTTTGGGGGGGCGTTAAGTTGGGGGGGCCGTGGTGCTTGCTTCGTAATGGCTCTGAGGCGCTCTCTCCATAGAACCCAATGTATACTAGCCTTCCCTTTTCAGATTTACTTAAAGAGAGCAGAGGCAAAAGGAAGTTGATTTCAAATGAATAAAGCATTCCGTTTTCCTATGCTAAAACTGAGTTTTCATGAACAGTTGTTATCTGCTCTAAGGAGATAAACGAGGCGCAGAGTGAAGCGGGCAATGGTGAGATCCGGTGTTATGTATTTTTTCTTATCAGTGCCATGGGGAGACGGAGCGTATGGATATTCAAATAGAAATTCAAGAAAAGTAGCCAAGAGATGCAAAGACTTCCACAAAACGCACTGTGGGATTTCAGGCGCACAGCAGACTGACTGGCGTGCTGATGTTATTTCTAGGTCTGGGGATGGGTGTGATGGTTTTATGTTGCGGGGTAAGGTGGACTCTCATCAGCACCCTTGATGATTCACAGTGACCAAGCATGGTAGCATAGGCAAGCTATCCCTACACATAGTTCTGGGGTGACTGCTGACTGCTCTTAACAGCCTAGAGACACCGCAGACTGACACCCAAAAGGAATTGACTAGCTGGCTCTCTCTATGAATACAAAGCATACTTGTTTAGTCAGCCGCCCAAGGGACCCCTTCCACTCTGACAGCAGATAGCAGTGCTGTGTAGGAGTGGTCTGGGCTGCGTCTACTTCTGGCTACAGTGTGAAGTCACTTTGGTAGTCACAAGTTCTCAGAAGCCAAATAAACCTTGTAGCCTCTTTTAAGCTGAGTTTGAAAAAAATCCCATTTTTGAATGAAAGCTCTGGGGTTTGACATCTAAATTTTAAAGGTGTGTTTGATCTCAACTTTTTCTTTTTCTTTTTTTTTCCAGTTTCCCTGCAAGTGGATATTGTTCCCAGCCAAGGAGAAATCAGCGTTGGAGAGTCCAAATTCTTCCTGTGTCAAGGCAAGTGTCCCGGGTCCCATCGTATCCCAAAGCTTGCCTCCAAAACCTATTGCTCAAGAGTGGAAGCTAGGAGTGCTCAGCCTAGAATTCTGACCACTGCTGTCCTCTTGGTCAGCAGTGTAACATTGCAGACCATTCTCAGAGACTTTCTCCTCATAGTGACATGCTATCTATATTTCTACTTGACATTGGAGCCATCTCAAAGGGGTTTGTAGGAAAACCAGCATATACCCTAGAGGCTGAATCATCTCAGGTCTTGTATCTTGTCTATAGGCACAGTTCTGGAATGCAGCGTGAACTTAGAAAGAATGTCTCCATAGTGATCTAGTGGTTAAGGTTCATTTCTTAGAATAACTCAGACCTCAGAAATCCAAGGTTTTGATGGTACATTGAATATGAGTAGCACTGGTTGTGAAGACACCTATCTTGGTTTTCCATGACTGTTCCAAATACCCAACATGTTCTGTCCATCACCATCACACATGTACATAACTCTGGGATATGTGAGAGCTGCTATTCTTATTGCTTCCTTTGGAAGTAGATCCCTGATAATAATCGGGAACTATCCAGTGGAGGGAAGGATATGAAATTAGGCTTCAAGGCAGTTGTAGATGCCATGCTGGGGATTTGGAAATGTAACAGAAACAGGAATGAACTGAACTAGGGGTGATCTGTGGCATTTAACAAGCAGCGTTGGGCGGAAAGGAGCTTGAACTGCCACCAGGATTTGCATCTGATCAGAGGGCTGTGGCTGATGGACACATTCACTCCAGCTCTGCCATCATTACAGCAGTTTCAATGATCTGAAGATAGAGCTTTAGTGCCCACAGCACATCTTGTAAATTGTGATATTTATTGAAAACATGATGAGCCCCAAAAGGAAGACTGTATTTCTCTACCGAGCATCTGCACAGAGCTAGGCAGGGCAGGCTGGTACCTCCATACAGGTAGTAGAACAAAGAAGGAGCATTGGCTTGGAGTTCCTTTCACCCTGACCCAGCCTTGCTTCTAGGCAGCTGAACAATAGTCCTGCCCCTCACAGGTGCCCAGAGAGAGAGAATTGCTGATGTTCTGTCTCCTCGGAGCATGGAAGGGGTTGACTGTGGCAACAGACATCAGAATGTCACTCATAAAATTGCCACAGTCAAAATGGCTGGAATCTTAACTCTTGGACTATCTTCAACTCAGAAGATGAGCAGTCTCCACCCTTTATATCCTGATCAATTGGTTCAGGCCAACTACGTCCTGGAGCTTAGGGCTCAGATAAGCTAACCCCTTTCTTTCCCATCCCATAATACACATTCATCCCTAGTTTAGTGCATGGGACACAGTGGGTTTACAGCAAATACTGTCCCTCCCCAAGGGCAGGACCACTAAAAAAAGATACAGGCACAGGTAGCTGGTGAATCCTTTCAACTCTAAGAGATGTTATTATATAATTAAACAGACTCGGAGCAGAGCTACAAAATGTTTCATGTTAGAGATTCCTTCCCAACCCTCCAGTCTTTGCCACCAGGAATTCTTACTAGGTAGCCACTGATACTCTGGAAGGGCTTAATCTTCTCCTTTTCTGTGCTGTGAAAATAATCTCTTCCTCCTTAGTGGCAGGAGAAGCCAAAGATAAGGACATCTCCTGGTTCTCCCCCAATGGGGAAAAGCTGAGCCCAAACCAGCAGCGGATCTCGGTGGTGTGGAATGATGATGACTCCTCAACACTCACCATCTACAATGCCAATATCGACGATGCCGGCATCTACAAGTGTGTGGTCACTGGCGAGGATGGCACCCAGTCTGAGGCCACGGTCAACGTGAAGATCTTCCGTAAGAGCCTCATATGTACTCTCCACTCCCGCCTTTCTTAGAAAGATACCTGGGTGGGTAGCAAAAGCAGCGAGAGGGCAACAGGAGGACCAGTAAGGGCCTGGGAGTTCCTTTTCTGTCCCTGAGTTGCTAAGAGTTCTGGTACACTCTCAAATGGTCCATGGTCAGTCCATGGTTTCCACCAGTCTTATGAGTCTACATTCCCACTGTCCTTCATTCTCCACAAACAACACAGTTCCTAGAGGGCTATCATGGATTCCTCCATGACTTCTAAGTGACAATGGTAGACAAATGGTTCAGATTTTCTCTTCTTACCCACTACCTTTGCTGGTGATACAGCCCAATGACCTAGTGAGATGGAGTATTGATGCTGCTCAGAAAAGGTAGTTCCCATTGCCACTGAAAGCCAGCCTAGCAGTGACATCTCATTGCCTTCTTACCATGCATAGTGTTGGCTCAAGTCAGGATAGGTAACAGCTAGTAGGTAGGTGTTGATTATCATAGCAATTATTGGGCCCTCATTCTTCAGAATTCTCTCTGCTGCAAGGAAGTTGGGGTGGGGTCTGAGTGGAAGACCAAAAAAAAAAAAACCAATGACCTTCACTGTCCTTGTGCATCGTCACTACAGCAGGGAGCCCATTCCCCTCTACAGACCCCTCTTAAAGCTAGCTGCCCTGCCTCTGCCAAAGACCCTCCTCCACCACTGTATCATGGGTGGATACTGGGCTGGGATGGAAACCCAGGCAGCACAGTTCTAGTGAGAAGGTGTGGTTTCCTCACTCTGCTCCTCCTGATGTCTTTCAGAGAAGCTCATGTTCAAGAATGCACCAACCCCACAGGAGTTCAAGGAAGGAGAAGATGCTGTGATTGTGTGTGATGTGGTCAGCTCTCTGCCCCCAACCATCATCTGGAAGCACAAAGGCCGAGATGTTATCCTGAAAAAAGATGGTAAGACCTGAGTTTCCATGAGCCATCAGGTACCCTAAATTTCCACCCCTACCCAGTCCCTGAGGCATTCCATCTAAATGCAGATTCAGGGTCCCAGAACCCACATGCAATTTCTGGGTCCCAAACAGATTATACCTGTAACTTGTGTGTTTGGGCATCTAGTTGTCTCTCCAAAGCAAAAGACATATCCCTAGTAGACTTGACCTCATCTCTATTTCAGGGCCAAGAGTGACTTTTCTCATTTCAGCCTAAAACCCAACCCTGAAGATAAGAAAAAGGGTGTGATAGCCAGGTTGTGTCATGTGTCTGTAATCCCAACATGCAGAAACTAATATGGAGAATGATTGCATGCTTGAGGCTAGCCTGGGCTACATAATGAATGCCAGGCCAGAATGGACTACACTGTAAAACTCTGTCTCAGAAAGAACAAAACACAGAACCAGTGGAATGCAAGAACAAGAGGCTCAGCTGCTTGCTTGGATGACTGTGGAGTTCTTCGGCTGACCTTGATTGAACCTGCCTCTTGTCTCTTCCAGTCCGATTCATAGTCCTGTCCAACAACTACCTGCAGATCCGGGGCATCAAGAAGACAGATGAGGGCACTTACCGCTGTGAGGGCAGAATCCTGGCCCGGGGGGAGATCAACTTCAAGGACATTCAGGTCATTGTGAATGGTGAGGAGATCTGTCCTTCCTGTTCTCTCCATCGCTACAGCTAAGGTTCCCCATTGACCTTCTCTCCCAGGTCCTCTTGAGTGTAGACCTGTTCTGACTCATTCCTGCATCTCAGCAGAATTTTCCCCCACTATCAGAACCTCTGAGAGGGGGACATTCTCACATTAACACACTGGTTTTTGGTGTCTCCCCCCAATTGTAGATATTAAATGCCCTTCATTGTCTTGCAGGACTTAAAACTAATAAATCCCTCTTCATCCCCAGTGTCCTTGATGTTACCATCATTAGGAAGTTAGTCCCCTTGGTTTGATGGGCAGAGAAAATATTGCAATCAATTCAGATCTCAGAATAGTCAACATTATGGTCCGTGGGCTTATTAATCTTAATTTGCAGTGTCAAATAAACACACCCGTAGCATCGATCTGACATTTGCAAGATGTTTACAGGAAATTATAATGTCAGTGCTAAGAAAATAAGTAAATCGCATCTGAATTGTTTTGGTTATTGATATGTATTTTCTTGCCAAACTCTCCCCCTCTCATTCCTTCAGTGGAAACACTTTGTGCACAAGGTTGTTTATGACAGTTGCAGAGAAATGCCACTCTGCTGAGCTGGTGTCTTTTGGAAGCATACCAACCTGAAAACCACCAGGAACTACATTTTCTAGCTTTTGCCAGTATGGAGAGCCTCCTTTTAACATTGAGTCCCACCAGCCCTTGTTGTTATGTAGCATATATTGATTAAGAAAAAAACATCATAGCAAATAGCCACTGTAAATCAAATACCACATGAACATGAGTTAAGAGGTAATATAGCAGCTGGACTCTTAAAAACAATAATGCACGTTTGTGGGCAAATTTTTGTTTGGTTTACATTAATTATTTAGAATGCCATTGAGTTTAGATCACTTACACTAATGCTGTGGCTGTCCAGGTCTCTTACCCCCCAGGTGGTGACTCTGTGACTTGCTGGCCCCCAAATGCCTCTTCTCAGGGCCATCAGGTACTTTTAAGTTATGTACAACTACCCCTAACATGCTTCTTTCCTTCAGTACCACCCACTGTCCAGGCCAGACAGAGCATCGTGAATGCCACTGCTAACCTGGGCCAGTCCGTCACCCTGGTGTGCGATGCTGATGGGTTCCCAGAGCCTACCATGAGCTGGACAAAGTAAGAAACTGGCTTATGCCTTGTGTCATGTGTGAGAGGAGAAGGGAACCCTTAGAAGCTGTTGTCTGTGGGTTTTTCAGTGGCATGAATATGGGCTTCCTAAAATACCAGGGTGAGGAATGGTTCTTTTCTGGGACATTCTCTTGCTCTGTGTCTTTGATTATTGTTTCATTTTCAGTCTTATGGGGGCAGGTCCAGAGGGTGTGATGGAGATGATTCTTTGAATCCTTTATGAGAGATATTGACAGTCTTTGCATAGCTTCCCAAGACTGGGGAGAAGCATAAAAAGCATGTAACAGTAAATGCTACTCAAAGGTCTTCCCCCTCTATGTAGGCTGAACCTGTCCCATCAGCACAGTCTGAATTCTGTGGAAACTGATTGGAAAGAAACCTCTTAACTCCATGCTCAGAATCATCACCCTTTGCATTTCTGAACTGTGTAGGGATGGGGAACCCATTGAAACCGAGGAGGAAGATGATGAGAAGCACATCTTCAATGATGACAGTTCTGAGCTGACTATCAGGAATGTGGACGAAAATGACGAGGCCGAGTACATCTGCATTGCTGAGAACAAGGCTGGCGAGCAGGATGCGTCTATCCACCTCAAGGTCTTTGGTAGGTACAGCGCAGTGAGGGTCAGGGTCACTGTTCAGGCACAATTCCTCCTGCTCTGCATACTGTAGCCATCAGAAAGGCATGCCCACACTGCTGCGGCAGACATCCAAAAAGCTACCATTTGCTGCCTGCTCTGACACCTAAGTCCAGGAAACCATTCAATAACACACAGCCTTCTAGCTGGTGTCCTTGCTCCCCACCTTGGCTCCCCTCAATCTCTTCTACTCATGGTAACCAGAGGACCTCCATGCCAATCCTCTTTTCAAGATCCCTGTGTCAGCTGAAGTAAACTCCACACTAATCTCATGGCCCAGTGTACCCTAACTACGGCCTTGTACTCTAGCCCCAGCTTTTCCTCCATCTGCTCCATGGAGAAAGCTCTCCAACTACACCGGCCTCCTTTCTGTCTCTACCTCACACCAAGCTAATTCTCACACCTAGCTTCGGGACATTGCTTTTGAGGCTATTCCGCTTGGAGTATCATTGCCTAAGACAGACCTGCTCTGAGCGGCCTTCTGGTTATCATCATGCAGACCTCAGCTCAGGGACATTTTCGTGAATCCTTCCCTCACCTCATCTCTGCTGTTGTCTCTCCCCATCCAAGCTATCGCCCTCCTGACCACCCTCAGACTCACTGTATCTTCTCCACTCACCTAACAAGTCCTGAACCCATCCTCTTGACATGTTTCTCTCCAGTCTCCATTAGCATTCAAAGTGTATTGGGAGCATGCTGGCTGTTTTATACATTGTTTTATCCCTGGTTCTCAAAACAGCTCCAGACTCATGATACCTTAGTAAACAGCAGTCCTTAACGGGTTACCTCACCTCCCCCCACCCCCTCCTTTACTGGCCTGTGTGCCACTGTGTGTCATAGGAAATCACAGAAAAAGCTTTCATGTCTCCATCTGCTTTGTTCTTATAAATTCGGCAATTTCCAGGCATTTCAGAATTGAAATGGGTTTTTGGCCTGCTTGTGGGGAAAAAAAAGGATTTGTTGCAAAGAAGGTCTCTGCTTCTCTGTCTAAAAAGCACAGATAAAATGCTGCAGGGTAGACCGTGCTGGTGAACACCACGCCAGAGAGGCCTCTCTGGTGCCTGTCCCTCCCATGGAGTTAAAATGTTCACCTGGGAGCCAGTACTGGGACCTGCTTGCTTAGTCTGATGGAGAGATCTGTCTGTAAACATGCTGTTGAAAATCAGATGCTTTTATGCAGATGGCCCTGGTCATCACAGATGAGTCTTCTCTGTGTATTGATGACAACTGCGTCTACAAATAGGTCGTGAGAAGGAACACAAAACGTCATGAAAAAAAAAACTTGCTTAGGTGTGTGTGCACGTGTTTGCACATGTGTGTGTGCAGCTGCACATAGATGTCCATGAGGATGGAACCAAAGATCACCCTTGGGTATCATTCCTCAGGTGCTGTCCACCTTGTTGGAGAAATGGGGGGTCTCATTAAGCTACTGCTTACTAAGTTAGCAAGGCTAGCTACCAGCAAGTTCCGGGGATCTGTCTGTCTTCACCTCCCCAAGGGCTGCGATTACAAATAAGGCTGACTGTGCCAGGGTTTCTTTTATGTGGGTCTGAGGATCAGACTAAAATCCTCACCTTTGCAAAGCAGATACTTTACTGGCTGAGCTGTCTTCCCAGCCCATAAAAAAAAAATCATTCTCAATGGTGTTTTCTCTCTACTTCAGATTAATCTACCCCTCCAATCATTCTGTTTTCTAGATTATACAGAAGGGCAGGTGCATTTGTTAATTTATCCCTTCATTTAAGAAATATTGAGCTCCTTTGCAGCTAGATAGAGTGGCTAGAGAGATAAGTGGAATTGGACTCTGAGAAACACAAAGATAGAGATAGACATATAAACATACAAAAGAGGATAGATAGTGTCAATCAGCACTATCCACTTGAGTGTTTACTGTGAGTCCGGCCATTGCCAAGTTTAAAATACAATATCATGGAGTCTGTTCTCATCAGTAGATTCACAGGCACGTGGAGATGTCCAACACTGACATTTGAAATGACAGCCCCCTATAATGTCTCCATAGCAACAGCATGGTGGTGTTTTATAGGGAAAGATTTCCTATCCTGTGTGGCATCAGTTAGTCATCAAAATGATGCACTACTTCATTTCGAATGGTGGGACAAGTGCCTCAGGCAATGCTTGGAAAGCGCAAGCTGAGCTGCTGGAGACAGGGACTCTGCCTGGCTGGCTTACACACATGCCTCCAGCGCCTAGGACAGTTGGCAGGAGCAGTTGAATAACTGAAAGAATAGCCATTAGTTCATGTGACTGATGCATGACCCATGTAATAGGGAGATGATCCTGGGATAAAGTTATCATCTCGTTTCTGAGGAACCGTTAAAGTAATAATAATAATAATAATAATAATAATAATAATAATAATAATAATAGTACCCAATACAGAAGTAGCATTTGTTCCATGCCATGCCAAATAACCACAAATTAGCCTTTGCAATCCTCACCACAGCCCTCTGAGGTAGACTCAATTATTGGTTCTATTTTACAAATGACACGCAGAGTTCAGGTGCTCCTCATAAGGAATCATGATGCAAAGCAAAACAATGGCTTCTTGGTTCAGACCCTGGGAAAGCAGTGATGGCTACATCTCCATGCAACCAGTAGGCACCTGTGCTAACTGCATGCATAAGAAATGGAAGAAATGGAAAGGAATATGAGAGACCGTGTGCTGTCCCTCGACCACAAAGCTGCTCATAGGTCCTCTAGATGCTTTTCACTTGCAAGTCCTTTTTACTGAGAAATTTTTAACAGACTCATTTTAAAACTGTGGTTTTGGTATACATATACTTTTCCACTTATTAAAAACCGAAAGCACATTTGCATACCAATGAGATGGGCATGCTTGTTTATTTAATAAAGAATTAAATGTTGGCTGAATATTTGATATTACAGAACACAGAATGTCTTCAATGTTCTTCAGTGTTGCTTGATGTTTTTGTTTATAATCATCAAGGCTGAGAACACCACTTTGCATAAATACACAGTACAAAATGGCAGGAATTTGTTTAGGACCATTTCAGAAATTGTTGGAAATGCTGTCTCCAATCCCAAGCCAAAACTCATTGAATAATTTTTCTGTGAAACTCAAGTCAGCAACTCAAACAGCAATTTTTAAAATCGAGCATTCTATCCAAATCAAGCAATACTATCCAAAGATACACTAATTTGATACTTACATGCTGAGGAATGATGGTAGGAAAATATTTGAAGTCATTGTTTTCCATAATTAAGCCATTATGCTTCTGTAAGAGCAGAAAACTTTGCATGTGTAGTAAAAACACTACAATTCATAACATACAATAGTCTTGAAGCTGAGCCTGAGGCTTTGCAGCCAGTGCTTGTTGGCATTGTGTGGTGGGATGGCATGTACATGCTGAGCATTCAGAACCAAGGCTGCAGTGAAGCCACACAATGCAACATGGGCAAACACTGCCAGAAGCAACTTAGATTCACTGTGCATTTGCTTTTGAATTAATTTCTGGTCTTTTCCTGCCCAGAAACATTTTACTATTGCCAAATTTTATTATAACTTCTGCTTTGCAATTGTGTAATTTAATAGGGTCATAACCCAGCATTTAAGAAGCTGCTCTGTGGAACCTACTCAGCTCTATCATGAATGGCTGAGAACAGCTCTTGTTCCTCTTCCAGACCCCTTTGGTGGCAATGATTGACTCAGGCAGGAAGGACAGGTAGCAAATGAGGAGTCATGTGTGGCCATGGGAGAATGAACAGAATGGATAAGGCCAGGGGAAGTGGCAAGGAAAAGAGAAATTAGGATGGAGAAACAGGCAAGGCAGGATGTGTCCCCCAGTCTTAATCCTAAAGGAACACAATCATCCCTACATCTCTACACCCCTGAGCATCTGCATCTGCACACACACCACCGCCATTTCTTTCCCAAGACTGTTAGAGTGTTCTCTAGGCAGCACAGTGGGGCAATCAGAGAGAGGTAGCTGAGCTCTTAGACAAGTCAGCAAGAAAATCATGGACCTGTAACAACTGTGTCAAATCCAGAATCAGCATCCTCTACAATGCTGCAAGGAGAGCTCCTTCAGCTCTCTTGAACTCCTCTCTCTCTCCTTTCTGCCTCCTAATCCTTCTTTCCCTCCTCCTTCTCTTGGTCTCCTCCATTGGTTGAGGCAACTAGCATGAGATCAAAGAGCCCAGTGAAAAGGGACCAGCTGGTTAGAGCGTCTTTCTTTGCTCTCAATCCTTTCCCTTCTAGATCGATGCCATGGGTGATCCCTAAGGTATATTGAGAAGGTTTGCTCTGCAGTAGCAAAGCTTAATGGTGTTGAAGGGGGAAGAGACCTACACCTTGGGTAACAAAGAAGAGATTAAACCTCCGATGGCTTCAGAAAGGGTAGCACAGTATGTAAAGATCATGACTAAAGCAGAAACTGTTGTTATTATGACTTAATGATACCCTATGATAGAGATCTGCTCTATCACGTGTTGCCCTAGTTATCAGCCAAGGGCTCCTTTCCTTAAGTAGCTGCATTCTACGTGGCTGTGAGGTTCCATCACTGTTCTCTGTGGGTCCTTCCGAAAAGTTGTTTTTTTTTTTTTTTGCCTTTGCTAATGATCTGTTAATTATTTATGCCGATGCTAATGATTTTGATGTCTCCTGATACCATAAGCTGATGCACGTTCAGTGGTAGCAGAAGCCTTGGTTACCTGTCTGTCTCCTGTAACTAAAGCAGAACTTATGGGTGATAGCAAGAGACCACCTGGGACTGAAGGAGAAAAATCTCAGGGTTCTCCTTGGACTGGACTCCCAGGAACTATGGGCACAGGAGTGGGCATGGCTATTGCTGAGTAGCCAAGTGCAGAGCAGTGGACTGGTAGTCACAGGCTAGTGAGAGGGTGATTTGAATGGGAAAAGCTCCCCGTGGACTGGCATTTGGACACTGGGTCCCAGTTGTTGCCACTGTTTGGGGGAAGTGGAGAAAGCATGGCTCTGCTGTCAGCAGTAAGTCCCTGAGGGCAGGATTTAAGTGTATTATCTCCTTATCTTGCTTCCAGTCGGCTCTCTCTGCTTAGTTGAAAGATGTGAGCTCTCAGCTTCTTGCTCCTGTTGCTCTGCCCAATGCTGGCTGCTATGAGCTCCCCATGAGGGACTCTATCCCTCTGGAAGTGTAAGCCAAAACACACTCTTTCTTCTATAAATTGTCTTGGTCATGGTGTTTTATCACAGCCACCGAAAAGCAGCTCATACAAGGAGAGATGCAACTGTTGGAGGCACTAAGTCTCAGGGAGGCAGAGAGACAGCAGAAGAATGTTGTAAACTCTAGGAGCTCGTGCAGAACTCAAGCTGGAGCGAGGACCATGGGAAGATGAAACTTGGAGAGATCCCTCTTGGTGCTAGCACACAGAGGGAGAGAATCTTTTACAAGTAGGAGACACTCTGCATATGTCCCTGGTTGCCCAGTAGTGTTTTCTGTCTCCATGAAATTATTTATAACATCCTGATTGTGTTTATTTTCTGTGCCTCAGATAGACTCCTCAGACCAAAACTTAAAGGAGAAAGGGGCTGATTTTGACTAACAGTTCCAAAGTGGATACAGCCCATCATGGTTGGGAAGGCATGACATCAGGAGCCACAAGGCCAGTCTGGCAATCAGGAAGCAGAAGGATCACATTTCATCCATACACAGGAAGTAGACAGGAAACAGGAAGTGGGGTCAGGCTATATAATCTCCGCCCCCAGTGATGTACGTCCTCCAGGAAAGCTCTACCTCCAAAAACTGCCATAACGTTCACAAACAGCGTCACCAGCAGGGGCCAAGTGTTCAGACATGAGAGACTCTGGGGGCATTTCATAAACCTCACAACACCTGTGACGTTCTGCCTTCCTCTGGCACTGACAACAGTGCTGCTTTTAGAGGCAGCGGATGGAATCATAGATACCACCTGACCCTTCCTCTGTTACCCTTTCTCTGACAAGACAAAATGCTAAGGGCCAGAAGGCCAAAAATAGTAAAACAGTGTCTAAATCTCAGACTCTTACAATGAAGTTTCCAGAAATTTGGCCATTGTATATCTGGCTAGCTCCAGCCTCCAAGTCACTGTTTAGAAAATCTGGGGAGGGGGGGTCTTTTGTTTGTTTGGTTTGTTTGTTTTTCAAGACAGTGTTTCTCTGTGTAGCCCTGGCTGTCCTAGAACTCTCCCTGTAGACCAGGCTGGCCTCAACATCACAGAGAACCACCTGCCTCTGCCTCCCCAGTGATGGGATTATCTGTTGTTCTCTTATGTCTACTGTCCCTTTTCCTTTTCCTTTGGTCGCTTTGGTAGCCTAGAGATTCAATTCCTATTTCACCTTAGTTTTGCTTTGCTTTATTTTACCCTCTAAAATTAGTTAGTATTTGATACTAGTGAACCGTCATTCCATATGATGTAAGTTGTGACCTCATGCAATGCATCTTTATCAATGTAAGACATAAAGTCTTCCTACAGAAAGCTACAGCCAGAACCCCTGGACTCCATCATCTCAACATCATTTGGCCTTGCTGGGTTAACATTTGTCCATGTGCCAGGCATGAGAAAATAATTTGCTAAGTGTCCTGTTGGTGACATTAAGAAGCCACTTGAGCTATTCAGGTGATTTTTGTCTGGAAGCAGGCTCTTGGTCACTGATTTCAGTTTATTGAAGCTTCGTGGAGGACTTCCATATAGATCTTTTCAGGCCATATTCTTAGCTGACTTGCAGTTACTACGAAGTTGAATAGAAAAGAAATACAGTGACTTCAGAAGCTACCTGTCATTCTGGCTTTGTGTCTTTTTTACCCTGCCTTTCTTTCAAGTAGTGAAATCAGTTGTTTGCACAGCCTTATCTTTTCTCTTCTATGGAAGGTTCAGCAATTTCTGAGTATAATTGTTTTAAATTAGGAAAATTCAATTTTCTCTAATGTTTTCACACTTAACTCAGTTTTGGAAGCTGTGTGTTCTTTGCATTATCTCAAACATTTGGAAAATGAACTCAGCTCAGCTTCCCTCCTCCCTGTCCTCAGCCTACCCTGAAGCATGTGACCAAAGCTTCCAGACTGGCTTCTGACTCAGTTTTCTCCATTCTAGAATTCCCCCTAGATTGACCTTCTTGGGGTTCAGTGACCACTCCATGGCTCCAATGACACTCCACCCATGAGCTTCTCTGGCTTATGGGTAAAATACCACCTGCTTTGTCCTCTTGTTCCATGAAACAGCCTCCTCCTCCACTCCCTCCCTCCTCCCCTCTCTCCCTCCCTCCCTCCTCCCCTCCCTCCCTTCCTCCCTTCCTCCATCCCTCCCTGCCTCTCCTTTTGCTCCTTTTATTTCCTTCAAGAATTTTTCTGAGCTTAGAATGAGTCCATTCCACCCACATTTGCACCTGCTGAAACTCCCATGGCCCCGCCCCAAAGTCATCTGCATGTGAAGGCTAGAGCCAGTGTGGCGCTCCTCTGCAGTGGGCTTCAGGCGCCTATTGTCTGTATATTCCAGAGAATGTTTCTCTGACTGTCATTTCAATGTTGCCAGAACCTTTGGAGGCTCAGTTCTGTGTCTCCTACTATACCTAGACTTGAGCCTTATGTTTAGTAAATAAGAAACTCTTTTAAATGGATACATGTTGTCACTTAAACCTCAGAGAGCAAAATAACCAGATAAATTCATGGAAATGTTTTTTTTTTCTTTTCAGCAAAGCCCAAAATCACCTATGTAGAGAATCAGACGGCCATGGAACTAGAGGAACAAGTCACTCTTACCTGTGAAGCCTCAGGAGATCCCATCCCCTCCATCACCTGGAGAACTTCCACCCGAAACATCAGCAGTGAAGAAAAGGTACAATGTCACCCAAGAGTTTCAGGGCTATGGAATGCAGACTTGAAGCATCTCAAGTCTACCCCAGGCCCAGTTCTCTTTGGCACATGGCAAGATGGGATGTGGTCACCCGTAGCCACAGTAGGTCCTGCAACCTCCCTCCTCCAGCCTGCCTGGTTGTGGTCTACTCAACATCCTCTCACAGTGGGATGGACTCTTTCCCTGTATGGATTGCCAGGGGCATGTTGGTAGTGGGCTTGGTCACGTTAGATGGTTTGGGGAGGAGGCAATAGTGAAATTCTGATCCAGGCTTGTGGAGCTGTGAGGACCCAGGACAAGCAAGATTCTGGGGCATCAGATGATGTTGCCATCAGCTCAGACACACCCAGAAAAGTGTCCCCCAGAAACAATAGGGATCAGGATGAGTCTATTAATTCTCTTCCTCGCGTCTCATATACTCACGCTGTATGCACGCACTCTGTGCACAAAAGCTTGGTTGCCTTTGTGTCTGCCTGTATTCTTGGTCACATTTGGATTCCATTTTGTTCTAAAGGCAAAAATAATTAGCAGTTTCTAGATGATGGTACTTAGACCTGGGTTCTGTAATATACTCACCAAAGTTTAAGAATGTGGTAGTAACTCCCTGGCAAGTTAAATGACTGAGAACATTTAGCTTTAAGGTGTATGGATCTGTAGATCATTGGAAAGCTTTCTTTATTACTGATAATATATATATTGGCGTGACCACTCCACATCATGTAGCCCATTGCTACTGAGTGGGCCAAAAAGACAAGAAGAATGGGCTAAGTTGCAAAGCAGTGTAGATATCTTTAGGAAAAGCAGCACGGTAGAACACATGGCCCAAAATTAATTCTGAAGCACTATACAAAGGAAAAAATAATGGCTTTATGGCACCTCTCCAATATTATTTTGCATCTCCTGTAGTAATAGGCTTTGTTTTAGTTTGCCAAAGCTTGGTTACCTACTCAAGAGTAATAGCCATAGCCTTAAAGAGGATGTATAATGGATTGCCTATTGACCAGAATGTCAAAAATGATAGATATGCCCTCTTCTGCCAGGCTCAAAGAAATCTCTAGAAATAAACTGAAAGAAAGCCAAAGGGAGAATATTAAGTACCAGGGCTCAAAGTGGAATTTGCATTTGAGGAACCAATTTCTACCTCGGTGACAGAAAACAAAGCAAATTCTAAAGGAGCAGAAAGCTCTATTCCAAATAGTCCATTCCTTGTTTTGCAAGTTTTGTACCCAGAGTTGAATCCAACTTAACAGAAACTCAACTGAGGAACTGCTAAATATTTTTGAAGCTCGCATATGCTGTTTGATCTGCAAAAGCCAGCTAAATTAAGAAGTGAGGTGTTTACTTCAATAATTTCTTTATCGACACTGGAATTAAATTCCCAGCTAAGACTTCGGCTTCCTTTGTGTGTTACATGGACCCAATGTACATTTCAGGGCTTAATCCACATGGCCACTGCTTGGCCGGTCTTTCTATATTAGATTTCAAAGTAGATTTGTCCAAGTGACCCAGTATGTATCTCTGACCTACCGCGAAGGACGAAACATCTATTTCAGATGAATGACATTTTTAAGTTCTGTGTCTTTTCTAGAAATAGCTCAACAGTTAAACTGGACAAGAAAGATTATTAAGATTTGTGCCTACTTGGGGCTTGTCTTTAATAGGTTGGCACTTCTGGCTTGTACCTATGATTTCATTTTTATAAAATGATAATAAATAGCTAGGAACTAATATGTGCTCATATTCCCTAAATATTGAGACTGAAGATATCATGAAAAAACCATCTCAAACCCAGTGGGACTGATTTTTTTTATCAATTCAGTTTTCTCTATGGGTCGTCTGTCTTGATCTGAGATAACTATTTAAGCCCAGCACAGTTCAGATCACAGTTTATTTTACTGTAGACTAGCTTCAGTTTTGCTTGAAGTGACATTCATGGAGCATGAGTCAGTCAGTGTCAGAACAAGTCCACCAGAAAAGTTCACCATGCTACCACATCAATGTATTTGCTTAAATAAAATCTTAAATAAGAAAATTTTGCCACTTTTCTCATTAAATATTGACATCAAAGAATCATCGATGCCAATCTGATACTATAGATGGCTAGTAATGATGAGACATGATCTGCCAGTGAGCAGGTTGTGTTCTAGTTCCAGTCATTTTCACAATGGCAACCACCCCTTGCATTCTATCCCACCTAGAGTTGCATTATATATAATTATGTATTGAGATCACCAGCACCACTGAATTCTAAGAGTGAAGAAAACCATTTCTAAAATCGGGATGCTCAGCTAAGCAGGTCACAAAGGTACCAGTTTAATCTAATGAGTGAAATAGATAACCCCCCACAGCATTAAGTCCCATAGAGCTGCAGGCTAAGAGATCACTTTGGAAGAGCCTTTTTGGGCTTTGTGAGTTCACCTGGCTCGTTTTCTGGTATCCTTGCCAAGTCACTCAGCCCCCATCTGACATGTTATGGCTACAGTATCACAAAGGGCTGTCTTCTTTCCCACTACTTGGAACCCTCCACCTCTGCCACTCAGAATCTGAGTCACTGGAACAGAAGCTGCAACACTTCTTCCTTTATCAGACTCCCAGAATTTTCCAGTTTCTCATGTCATGATTTCTATACCCTTCACCCTGATAGTTGTCCTATAACTTGATAGTTTCAGTTCACTAGGACTCAATAAAACCTTACCGTCCCCCTGTAACCGGGACAGATCTCAGTGGGGTTATCATCTTGACCTAGACACATCATGTAGTCAAAGTAGCATTAGCCCTTGATTCATGTCATGTCATAGTCACCTAGAACATGCACGTCTATAATATGGACTCCATTTAGGCGACTTACCTCCTGTTGCTTTCTCGTGAAGTTGTTTGCTTGAGCAACAATGCAGAACTTTGTGTGTATTTCGCTTGTTGCAGCTTTGTTTCTCAGCCATGGTCACTTTGGCCATTTAGCAAGACTCTCCCTTCACTGGGACTGCTTTATGCATTGCAAGGTATCTGCGATTTCTCACCACCCCCAATCCCAATAGCCAATTGTAATCATTACTAAAACTCTCCCCATCTAGAAAACTACTACTTCAGACCATCTTTCAGTTGGGATTAACTGTTCATGGAGATTTTTACTTACAATTCTGGAAGTTGGAGTATTTCCGTTCAGATTGATCCCCTTATGCTGTATCTGCATGTTGAAAGTAATGACATAGGGCAGTCAGTGGTGACCCTAGCACTAAGCATAACATTAAAGTGCAGGTAATTCAACAGCTTTCCCAATGCAGCTGTCCTAGCATTTGTGTTAGCATTGCTTCCAGACTATGTGAATCCTTATTCAAAATATCTAAGTCACTGCTGAAAATATCAACTGGGACAAGGTCTAAGTTCAGAGATCTCAGATTCTTTCTGAGTCAGTTGCTCAGAAAGTGACAGACTTGGTGTCATGGTGAAACAGTGCTCTTCTGTAGTTCTAGTAGCTTTTGTTTGAGGTTCAGGTTCCTTTAGCAAGGGGTGTAAGTGGATTAAAGCAGCTTTGTCTTTCACGCCATAGATTGACTGTAACACTGCCCTTCTCATTGGAAGAGGAAGGCAAGAATTTTACCTACAGACCTGTAGTGACTTGCTAATAGAATATCAGAATTGTTTTTCCTCATAAAAGGAAAGAAGGAATGAATTCAAAATGAATATAGTCATACCATACCTTTGATTATGTCTCTGGACTGAGTCTCATTGTGGTTGGAGAAAGTCTCATCAATCCATTAAGCTTCAGCAAGTGGAGTTGGTTTAGGTTAGCAACTATTAATAGCTAAGATGAATGTGATTGTTTGGAAAATTGATATCCGAAAGTTGATGTATTTCTTAGCAATTATTGGTATCGTGAGAAAAAAAAAAAGAGGAAAGTAAATATCATTGCCGGTTAGTTTTCACATGTGTGTGAAGGTGTTTGTGATACTTTCGAAGGTTATGCATCTGTGTCATGTCATTCCTCATCCTATACAGACTCATCATAAATATTGCCAGGTGTCTGAGTGTTGCTAGATTCCAGGCACAATTTACATACTGAGTGAGACCCAGGGATTATTATCTATATACTCAATCCCTGGCATAAAAAGGCATCCATCATTTGCTATTTGAATGTTTCTGTGCCTTGAGATGACTCTAAAGAAGGGTGTATGAGTCCTTCAGTATTAAGAAAAAAGAGGGGTGAGGAGCTGAGACCAGATCAGACAGAGTCCACAAATAAGAGAGACCTTTTGAAATTCTGAATTCTTTCGAAGCCCAACCTTTCTTTTCACTGGGGAGAATTCCTGATTGGATACAAGCTCAGTGCCCACTTTTAACCCTCAGGAAATGCTTTGCACAGAGTGATCAGAGCCTGACCTAAGATGTGGGCAAATGTGTATAGGGAATGCTTAATATGAGTGAAGAAGTGCTTCGCTTTAACCTACACACATATAAACTACTAGAAATGTATATGGAGTAACAAAAATAAGGATTGAAACAACCAAAAACTAACATTTGGAGCATATTAACTATAGCCTAATTGTTTCCTGAGTATAGAGATTTGAATATAGATTGCCTTCAAGTGGGCCACATTTTTACCAAATTGTTGGAGCCAAGACAGACATTTGATACATTCTACCAGGCACAGAGGGAATAATCAGGCTACTAGAAACTTGTGTCCCTAGCAAGAGCTTATTTATAAAGCCATAGAACACTAGTGGTTTGGAACTGAGACACTGAAGTTTCCAATTTGAAAACAAATAATAATATATGCTATATCCCCATTTTTGTTTTTGTTTATTTAAGTCTTGATGACACAGCCCTGGCATGTGACAAACAAGCTTTCTAGCATTGTGGAATTGTCAACTACAGCTGACATGTTGGCCCACTGTGACTTTGGTCTATGCATGTTCTCTGTTCTCACTTCCTCCTTCATCCCAACATCATGTAATGTGACCCAACATCTCCACCCTCCTGTCTCACAAAAGCGCCTTGTATTTGATGAACTTACTGTTTGCTAACTCATTCACATTCCCTGTTTCTAGCATCTTTTGTGTCCTTTGCTATTTGAACATCAAGGACAGTCAGTCAGGAATGCCACCCAATGAAAAGACCAATACAACTCAGATGTCTCTGACTCAGAGTTTGAAAACAGAGAAGTTAAGCAGAGTAGATTTCGTGTGCTGCATAAATGAACAAATCTAGCCTTGAGCAGAAAGTTCCCCAAATCCTCTTGTGTGACTTTTCTCACTCTCTCATGAGTAGCAAGTTGGATGGGGAAGGTCCATGCTTCCATCCAAATGCCATCTGGGACCTTTCTAACTTTAAGCAATAGAGCCCCACTGTCACCACCCAGGATTTAGACTCCTCAACGCTTCCTGACCCATAGTCTCAAAGACTTCATGCTCATACACTCATTGTATCTCTCTGCTCCTTGCTTTGTCTCTTTGTGTAATAATAATAATAATAATAATAATAATAATAATAATAATAATAATAACTTTGAATTAAATGCATGCTGAGTTGCAAAGTGCATGGGCATTAAATGGCTTTAGTGTATGTGTGATTATCTGTCTAAAACATTTAGAGGAAAAATCTACTCTCTAAGAAGCCCTTGATTATTTGATAAGAATGGATAGTGCCCTCAAATATGTTGAAGACTGTTTAAGATGCTTTGTATAGGAGGAGCTGACTATGTCTGCTTGTATCCATATATATGCAGAGTTCAATTCACCTTTGATTTATACATTTTAAGGTGCATAAGATGATAAGATGGGGGGAGCTGAACTTCAGCTAACTTCTGAATTAAATTGGGGGGATAGTCATATCATTGAAAGTGGGCCTTGAAAAAATTTCTGAATTAAAAAGACACTGCATGTGCACGGAATGCAGTATGAGTTCTCTAAAGCAACATGTGACATTTTACTGCCTTCTTGTTGTGTTTTATATCTTGTTCTCTCCAGGCTTCGTGGACTCGACCAGAGAAGCAAGAGGTATAGCTTACTTGACCACTAGCCAGTCTCTAGCTCGGAAAGCATTTCAGTTTAACTCACCATCACAGTTAATAACCAGACTCACTAACCTAGTGAGCACTTTAGTTAAAGCTTAGGTCCATAGCAGTAGATATCACCTAGTAATAGAGTCATCTTCTAGGATGAGCAAGCAAGCTGTGTTGGGAGTGGAGGAACAAACCCTTACGATTTTTTAAAACAGGACCTTATTCTCTTGCTGGTGCTGGTAAAATCATACCCAGGTAATTGTGCTGATAGAAATAAATTGCCCCAATTCCCAAGCCAGGCATTTTGAAAGAATAAAAAATTTTAAAAAAATTGAACTCTCCTCTGGTGGCTGTGGCTCTGGACCATAAAGTCACAGAGTGAGTGATCTAAAACCCACTCAGCCCTTTCCTTTCCAGCTCAACTCATCTTGTTGCTCACTTATTTGATAATGACTGGCCTTGGTAAATGATCACATTGCATTTCCTGTCAAAAGCCACGCCAATGACATCCTTCACTGATTTCCCCAAACCATTCAATGTATCTGTTATCTTTAGGGAGCATTAAACTTGTAAGACTGGAGTGATTTGGCAGAAATGGGCTTATGTTTGTAAAGTCAGTAGCATTTAGCCTTTGGAACTCCCCTGTCTATTTGCTTCAGTTTAGGAGACATGGGGCTGGGGTTGAAAACTGAAGCGAAGCATTAACCTTTCTGTTTCATTGCTGTCCTTGAAGACCCTTCATATAATCATGGTCACCAGTTTTTATCTGGTTCGTGTAACTATAAGTGACCAACTGGAACATAACCACCAGTTGGCCTGGGACTAGGGAGATAGAGCTGTGTCAGGAACGTGATTGCCACGCAAGGACCTGGTACTGATCTTCAGCGTTCATATTGGAAGTGAAGCATTGTGTTTTGTGCTTGTAATCTCAGCAATGGGGAGAGACACACACATGGATTGATGGGGATCATTGGCCAGCTACTCTAGCCTAATCAGTGAGCCCCAGATCCCAGTGAGAGACTCTTTCTTGAAAAACAAGGTAGATGGTTCCTGAAGAATGATACTTGGGTTTGACTAGCTTCCACATAGACATACATATGTGTGATGCACACACATGCACATATACAGATACCACACACACATACACACACACACACACATACACACACACACACACACACGTACACACACATGTACACACACGTGCACACACATGGATCAGGTGCCTTTAGATGAGATTCAAAATCTAATTTGTGAATGCCTCCTATTACATTCCATTTTGTGTCTTTCTTCAAATCCAGTAGTTCAATAGGCTCTATATTTCAATTCATTAAGTCTACCTTCTTAGTCTTCCTGGGTGATAACCATTCAGAACACATAACTCCTGTGTTCAGGTCATAACTATAAATATTGAATGCTGCTTAATATTTAAAAGTTGTCCACCTGTCCCCTGGCAGGGACATTCATGTCTGCACCTGAGCAGTCTACCATTGTCAAATCTAGTTCATCTTTGTAATGTGCCTGCCTTCCTTGATGACATGACATAGGGACTGTAGCATGTCCCCACTGAAATGCTTCCCTCCTGTGCCTTTGAGATCACTTAGTGTTGTCATAGGCTGAATGTTTTATTGCCCCAAAACTATGGCCCCACTGGCATTGGGAAGGGAGAGAGGAGGGGCTAACGATGGGGCCGACTTCCGACTTCCACAGCTGCAGGGCTCATTCTGCTTCGCTGTGTGTTTCTTCCCCTGCCATTCTGATCAGGGCCTGGCTTGAGGAGTCACTGAGATTTATCAGGGAGCATTAAGGAGATTTTAAATGGCTAATCATTGTAAGTGGAAATAATAGGTTTACTCCCAGGAAAGCACACACACCCAACTCCATTTTCCAGAAGTGTCTTTTATCTTGAATGTTTCACTTTGGACATAATTGACTTTCAAGTGAATGCTGCCCATTGGGGCTCAGACATTCCGTTTTATACTGTTGGACTCATTCAGAGATGAAGACCATAGGCCAGAGGAGTGCAAAGACAGGCTTGTGTTGTGACCAGGTTCTTTCTGGATGCTCTGAAAGGCCAAATGCTTTCATCTGGGAAAAGGGAGAACTGCTTTGCTGAGAATAATTAAAGTCACAAATACTGTTTTAAAGAGAGAGAAGGGTATCGCTGTAGTATTCTTGTTTCGCTCTTACCTGAGCTCACTGCTTCCTCTGAGAGAGCCAGAGTGATCAGCAAGACTTTTGGTTGGAGTGTCTTATGGTTGTGTTCCTGTGCCAGAAGAAATTATTTCAGGATGAGATAATCCAATCCCACTGGAGTCTATCGGTGTATCCTCCAAGGGATGACTGGACAGCTGGTGAGGAATCCCATCATCAAACTTGCAGTGAGCCACTACACAATAAGAAATCCCTGTAGAGAAATCCCTACTGGTGTGGTGACATCATTAAATGACAGAAGTCTCCAGCCCCTGTAGAAATGTAGGCAGGGAGACCAGATTTTAAAAATAAGTTTAAAAAAAAAATGTGTACAGCTTTTCCAGGAGCTTGTCTTCAGACATTTCTGAGCAAATGCTGTTCATTCCTTGCTTTTGTGCTAATGCTCTTACCTGAGGGACTCACCTTGCCTCCTTTCCACATGGTCATGTGCTCTTGGATTCCTAAGAATTACATATATTGCAGGCCCTGTACAAGCCCTATCTGGGTCACAAATCATCACAGTTCATCCCAAAGCCGATAAGACCATGTGTGGACCTTCAGTCCCTTCTCCCCTCAATTACATTGTGCTTTAGGCAGAGAGGAATGACAGGCGAATCAGGCCAGCTTTTGAGAGATACCTGCAAGAATGACTTCATGCTCTCAGTGTCCCTGATATATATAGATTGATGGATGAAGATTTTGTTTGACATGTGAAAAGACACTAAGATGGACCACTGTCAGCCTACAAGAAACAGAGTCCTGGGATCTAGCATTTCCAATAAACTGGATGTCTCTAGGCTCTCTGAGACAGTCTCCTGTCACCTCTCATTAATGTGTATCATCTCCTAGGATGCAGCTTCTTGACCAACAGGCCTCCCCTATTTCCAGGTCAAATAGAAACACCAGGGCATCCGTCTCTAAGAGAAGGAGATGCACAATGCCATAGGCACAGATGCTTTTCCTTGTTCCTTCCTTCCCTGGTTGGAAGCATGTTTTAGCTCCCAGATATAACTCAGATAACAGAAGTGGATCTGATCACTGATAGTAAAGGGACTTTGTGCCATAGATCTGCTAAGGGTGCTGTACAAGGCCAGCACTTTTTTTTTTTGCCAACTTCCTGGACTGACTGATAAAGGACATTGCAATTCCCCCCTCCCCCCAGCTTCCAATCCAGCATATTGATAGAAACTGAGGTTATGTGTCATTTAATTCTTTGAAGACCAACCCGGATGCTTGGCAGATGCTTGGCACCCCCTCTCATCCATCTCTACTGAGAATCTTGTGCTGGACTTAATGGGGTGTCCCAGCTTACACAGAATAGGGTCCTTCTTCAGTTTACCTGTTCTCAGGGGACTCTGGTCCAGGGGCACATGCCTGGACCCTTTGAGGGTTAGTACCCCTTTTGCTTAGAATGTCAAGGAGGGAACTCTTGCAAATATCCCAATACCCATTGCCTAGAGATTGTGTACTCATTCATTTTTTAGCAGTCCTTGTGAGTCTAGAGACTCAGTAAACTAATGGTAGCATCAAAGACTAGGGACGGGTGTAGACTTTGGTACAAAGGATCCTGGGTGAGTCTGTGACTCTCTTTGCACTATGTTTCAAGAGAAGGTTCTGTTGCTTTCAGCTCAGGAGTGCCTGGGCTTTGACTTGTCTCCCCAGTAAGAATGAATATTGTCAAGCATCCAGGAAAGAGACACATCTACAGGAAGGATGTGTCTTGCATAACTCCTTACATTTGGGTCATTGGCATTCCCTAGCACACATGCACACACTGTGGAACTGGGTCTGGGGGAGTCAGACTAGAAGGAAAGAACAGGGGATAGTGCGAGTTCCTCTGGATCTCAATTTGTACCACCCAAGCCTTTTGCTTCCATTTTAATACATCCCAAACTAGTCTTGGGTGACCTCACTATGCCCCAAATCGATCGAGTCCCATTTGTTGTTTGAACTATGTTGAAGTTCCCATACTCTTCCCCATTATGAAGTAGGTGAAGTGAAATTAGAGGTTGACATAGAGAGAAGACTAGACACTGGTCACAGACCAGCAATGACCCTTGTCTCCTAGACCCACCCTGCTCTAATTGCCCCTGCCCTCTGCCTCACCTCAGACTCTGATGCCATCCCTTTCCTCCCGGCAGACTCTGGATGGGCACGTGGTGGTACGCAGCCACGCTCGTGTGTCCTCTCTGACCCTGAAGAGCATCCAGTACACAGATGCTGGAGAGTACATCTGCACTGCCAGCAACACCATCGGCCAGGACTCCCAGTCCATGTACCTTGAAGTTCAATGTAAGGAGTGACTAGGGAAGGAGTCGGGGGCGGGAGCAGGGGGAGCAGTGAAGGATCAGGATGCTGGAGGCAGATTAGCTTCAGCTTCTCTAGCAAGTTCCACCTTGTTCATTCCCTGAGGCTGTTGGTCCTCAAGTGTTTCAGAGCTGTGGCCCCAAGTACAGACACACACACACACACACACACACACACACACACACACACACACACACATGCACTATCCCCAAGCTTCTCAGTAGCTACCCATGCTCTGAGTTTTCTCAAGCAGAACATGTACACATGAATTCCAAAATGTCCCAGAGCTCTACTGATCCAGGAACCCACTCTGCTTTGGGTCATGCCTGCCTTCCCAGTGCCAGAAGACAGTCTGTGGGTGTTCCAAGAAAGTGGTTGCTGTTCTGATGGTCATTGTCATTCATTGCAGATGCCCCCAAGCTCCAGGGCCCTGTGGCTGTGTACACTTGGGAGGGGAACCAGGTGAACATCACCTGTGAGGTCTTTGCCTACCCAAGTGCCACAATCTCCTGGTTCCGAGATGGTCAGTTGCTGCCAAGCTCCAACTACAGCAATATCAAGATCTACAACACCCCGTCTGCTAGCTACCTGGAGGTGAATTGGGGCGTGGGAAAGGGCAGGGTGGAACAGGCCCTGTGATAATGGGGAGGTTCCCATCACTTCTCCTGCTTCCCTGGCACATCCTGAACTGGGGAACATTGGATGGAGAAGAAACTGAGCCTCCTCTAGGTCCCCATCCTCAGCTTCACTGGTCCTGACCATGTTGCTAGGCTGGGACTAGGAAGTGGAATGTGCCTCTTCTGTGAGCCACTGGGTTCTTTTCACTGGGATTGATAATGAGTATATCACCAGATTTATTCTTTACTTACTGTATCTAATAAATAAATACAAGTGTGGCCATCCATGGGACATTTGTAACCCCTGGGCTCCTTCCTTCTGTAGGTAACCCCTGACTCCGAAAATGACTTTGGAAACTACAATTGTACGGCAGTGAACCGCATTGGGCAGGAGTCCTTGGAATTCATCCTTGTTCAAGCAGGTGGGTGCCTTCATCGTAACTTCCACACCAGTGAAGGGGCAGAAGACAGATCCAGGCTCTGAAAAGCCAGGTGGTCAAGAAGCCACTCCACGTGTGAGAACTCCAACCACGGGATGGGTTGAGGAGAGTCTGAAGTCAGCTAGGAAAGCGGTCTCTCCAAAAGCAGAGATTCTTACTCTTAGAAAGGATCCTCAAGAAAGATTGGAAGCAGGGGACGTATTTCCAAGTGTAGTCTTGGGCCACACACGTGACCTGGGTGTCCATATGTGTTCTCGCAGACACACCGTCTTCTCCATCCATCGACCGAGTAGAACCCTACTCCAGCACAGCACAGGTGCAGTTTGACGAGCCAGAGGCCACAGGTGGAGTGCCCATCCTCAAATACAAGGCTGAGTGGAAGTCCCTGGGGGAAGAAGCATGGCATTTCAAGTGGTATGATGCCAAAGAAGGTGAGTCTGGGGCACACCCTCGAATTCTGCTGACCGTGTAGGTAGGGGAGGTGCAGGATGTCACCGTCCGCCATTGCATCCAGTTTCCTCCAGAATTAGGAACTCTCCAGCTAGAGTTAGATTAGGGCCATGTTTCCATAGAGTTGTTGACCTTCTGTCCCTTGCTGCTTCCGACCTCATGACCTCACCAGGACAGACAGAACCGGTCAGATGCTTCCTAGACAGAAGATGTAATTAGCTGCTGAGCTTAATGGGAAAAGTGGGTGCAGAGCATCATCCTGCTCTGTTCTCGGCTTCTTCTCTGATGACTCCTGGCCATCCCTGCCTGGTGTCTGTACCCAGGGGCTGTCATGTACTGATGACAGTAACCAGGCCAGCAAGATGACAGATCTACCCTGAGTCAATCCTGTTTTATCTTCCAAGTTAAATCAATCCAGTGATGTCTTTCAAGATTAAATCTGATCTCTCTCTCTGGCTCTGGCTCTCTCTTTCTCTAATTCTCTCTCTCTCTCTCTCTCTCTCTCTCTCTCTCTCTCTCTCAGCATCAAGTATTCTTCCGAGATCATTCTCCATGTTTTTTTTTTTTTTTTTACCCTGAAACTCTTAAATTCAGTTAGGCCAGCTGACCAGTGAGATTCAGTGACCTGTTGTCTGTCTCTAGCCCCCCAGTACTGGGGCTACAGCGCATACCTCCATCCTCAGCTTTTACATGACTTCTGGGATTTGAACTCAGGCCTTCAGGCTTTCATGTATGGACAACACATACTTCACCCACTAAGACATCTCCCCAGCCCCCTCTCTTAAAATATCACTTCTACTTATATTTTAATTATGGTAAAATCCATATGAATTTTGCATTGAGTCATTTTTAAGTATATAAGTCAGTAGCATTGAGTCACAACCATCACTTCTGTTCATTTTCAGAGCATTTCCACATTCTAATTCCTTTCTCCACTTCCTTCTGGTCCCTGGTAACCACCATTCTACTGTCTTTCTCTAGCTGATTACCCTAGGGGCCCCTTGGGAGTACCTCATATGCCATTTGTCCCTTTGTGTCCACTTATTTATTAACAAAATGTTCTCACGGTTCATCCACACTGTAGCACGTGTCAGCATTTCATCTGTAAGATGGGGTAAATACCCCATTGTTGGTCCTCACTGCATTTCATTGACCCATTCATCTGTGATGATGATAAGTCGTCAAGGCTGCTTGTGACTTTGGACTCTGGGTAATACTGCCGGTGTGAGCATGAGTCTACAGGGATCTGTTTATCTCCTGCTTTCAGTTTTTCTACATGTTTGCCAAACAATGGTTGTGTTTAATTATGTGGAGACCCACCACCCTATTTTCCACCACACTGTTTTCCCTGTACACAGCCCTTCTCTTTTAATCTGCCCCATATTCTCACCACAGCCAACATGGAAGGCATTGTCACCATCATGGGCCTGAAGCCTGAGACAAGGTACGCAGTACGACTGGCGGCCCTCAACGGCAAGGGGCTGGGCGAGATCAGTGCAGCCGCTGAGTTCAAGACACAGCCAGTCCGTAAGTACCGCCAACTTCTCTACCTCTTCTCCACAATCACCCTCTCTCTTCCTTCTCTTCAGGGATAGACAGGGACCCTGAGTTGTCCCCATCATAGCTCAGAAGATAGCTTTTACCCTTTGGGTCCCCATGTTTATAGTGGCCCACTTAACTCTCTGGTTCTCAGGGATGGCTAATCTGGACTCCTTCCATCCCCCAAATGGGTGGAAGACACTGTTCTAGTGGGTGGCCTACTTTATTAGGATTGCAGCCAGGGGCCACCACTGGCCACCACTGGTCAAATATGATGAAGAGCTGAGGGAAACAAACAGGGCGTATGGAAGGAGTTGAGAGAGTTGCTTTTGGAGCCAGGCCCCCGAAGCCCCTAAGCACCCTGGAGCTTGAGAAAGACAGTAGAGACAGTGACTGCTCATGTCATGTAAACTGGGACTTTTCATGCACGGACAGTATTAAGTCATAGAGAGGGAAAACACAGAAGAGTCTCCTCTATGAAGAGGAAGATAGCCCTGCCATCCCAAAGGGGCCCTGGACTGACCTGATTCTTCCTTCCCAAGATGACTCCTCGGACCATCTGTGCCTCAAGGACTCTTTCAGGCGAGCGGCTTTCCCCAGGTTCCACTCGGGGCTGCCTCTAGCTTCTCTCTGCCATTCCCTCCATCCCTAAACCACGCTTGCCCAGCTTAGCCTTCGCTTCCCACAGCAGCCAAGCTCTGGACAAGCCTTGCGCTGGCCATGTTCCTCTGCCGTCCACATGGCTGCCCCCTCCCCACCCCCCAGGATCCTGGGTCCCTCCAGCTCAAGAAGATGCTGTAGAAGTGGTCTCCTGGGTGACCATGGAGCTCCAGGCTCTCCCTGAACCTCTGATTTAATCCACACATGAGAACCCTTTGCCTCTCTGAGAAGCCTGGGAGCCTACAGACAGACCCCCCCCCTTTACCTTTCCCCAGTGATAGCAGGGCCACTCTCCTCTTCCTGCAGCGAGTGTTTCTTCCTGTTTGAAGTAATTTGATAATTTGAGTTTCAGCTCCATGTGCTCTGTGGATTCTGTTCATTTCTTTTACATCTTATTTTTTTTCCCCCGGGTCTGTCTCTTGGCTTTTCTTTTCGTCTGTGTTCCATCCATGGGAAATGCAGATAGCCCTCCTCCACGTAAGTGCCTCTTCATACCTCATTACCTGTTTCCATAGTGTTAACATCTAGTCCTAGTTCATAATTTAGTTCTGGCCCCTTTTTTTGTCCCCTAGAGGCTGAAGTAGATGATGTTGTCTGAGCCCTAACCACACTGACCTTAGTCTAGCTGCGCCTTTGTTAACGTATATAGGTTACTCCATGAGGCTAACACTACTGTTCTAGAGCATGCAACTTCCGTGTGTTTTGAAATTGTGCTTATTTATTAATTCTTGTGTGTAGTCATTACTTGGTGGAAAAGATAAGGTTTGCCGAACCGAGCATGGTAGAAATCTGCCGATGGACTCTGAGTAACGAGCTAATAGCAGCCCCTCGCTTTTAGCCCCAGGACCAGAGGTGTGACACCTGCCTCATGAGGACCCTGTTCCAAAGTGCCAAAAATAATCTTCCTGTTTGCTTTTAGGAAGTAAAGGAACGGAGCCCGCATGCTTCCTGGCTTATCTGTTAGTTGATAGAGGAGGAGGAGGAGCAGAGCCTATCGGTGGGAATCCCTTGTTGAGTTGGCGTACAGATAGATGTTGGTGTGCACTGTGTCCTTCAGGCAGCTCCCTGTGGTCGGGGTGGGGAGGGGGCTGAGCCCTGGGTTCTTGTCAGCTCTCTTTATTTGCACTGGATTACTTACGGTGTACATTTCCATGCTGGGAACAGACTGGCCAGTTAACTTAGTAACTACCCAGTATAGTGTGGAGAGAGGGAGAGATTCCCCATGGGAGTGACACCCTGATTATGTAAACTGACAATATAGGATACTGAGAACAAGGGAAATGAGAGAGGAGGCAGCTGCCACAGAGAGTAGAATTGGCCTGACCCCCTCAGCCTGCTGAGACACCCACCTCCCAATGTCACTTTGCCAAGGCTGGGCTCTTCCTTCCTATGCTGAGTTCCTAGAGAACAGAGAGAGGACATACCTGACAGACCCGGAAGGAAAGATGTTCAGGAAGCTGTATGCAGTTCGTAGAAAGCTGCTAGGTCCTGAAAGGCACCCCAGGAAACTTATATTTGTAAAACGTATTCCAAAATATTGCAGCAACAGCAAAAACCAAGTAGCTGAGTGTGGATGTCAGGCGATCAGCCAAGCTGGTGTCTGGATGCGTCAGCTAGGGAAGGCATCAGAATCAGGGTCTGTGGGAGTGAGGGGTGCAGGTAGGGAGCAGTCAGGTAGGACTGACAGCTATGCCCCAGGGGAACTCTGAAGAGAAAGCTCTTCCTTCTGGATCCTTCCAGCAATCCTCAGCTGCTTCCTCCAGGCCCTTTTCTATGGGAAGTGATCAGTGAGCCCCGCTAGGTTAAAGAGAGGGAGGCCTAGATGAGTCTTGCTGTTGACTGTCTTCCCCCCCCCCCTCCAGTGACTGCAACTGACTCAGAGGACATGGTCTTGGCCCTCCAGGTCACAGTAGCTCCCTCTCATTGCCAGCTGGGGCCTTATGAAGATAGGATTGTTGGGGGGTTGAGTTTACTTCTTAATACAGCAGAAGATACGTTTCAAGTCCTGTTAAAAATTATGTGTTTAATTAAATTTTTTAATTTTAGTTTTAATTGTTAATTTCTTAATTTCTAAGAGAAGGAAGCCCCCAGACTTGGTATTTTGTTGTCAGTAGTGTGAAAGTAGATGATTAATGGAGACCCTGAGCGTCCTCTAAAGAAAGCTGTGGCACAGCGACCATTAGCACAAAAGTCAGTTTTCTCAATCATATAATAAAGGTATAGTTTAAAGAATTAATAAACACCAGGCCTTAATAGGCATAAACCTGACCCCAGCTTTTTGGGAGGCTTAGGCAAGAGGACCATAAGTTCAAGGCCAGCCTGGGCTCCACACTGAGTCCCAGGCTACCCTGGGTAACTTAGTGAGTCCCTGTCACAAGATAAAATGGAAAGAGAAAGGACTGGTGACCTATCTCAGCAGTGGAACACTGGTCTAGCCTGTGCAAGACCAGAGCTTCAACCCTGCATACAGGCAGAAGTGGAAGAAGGGAAGAAACAAGGAAGAAGGGAACAAGGGAGGGCTAAGAAGAAAGGGTTTAAAAGCAACCTTTTTCTTGACAAGCAGAAGTGAAGTGCAGTCGTAGAAGTGTGTGAGACTATCAGCATGGTGGTCTGGTAAACATGGGAACAGCACACTTTCTGAAGAAACCTCAGCGGGGTCTTTCCTTGCAACCTCGTAAGCCTCCCCAAGTCACTGAAGTGCAGGTCTGGCCCAGGAGTATCCTGGCCAGTGTTAGCCGCCAGACCCCTGAGTTGGGAGGTGTTAGTTGAGACCAGCGTTTGGCCTTAACTAACTGTTGAAGTTCACTGAGGTGTTTCAGTAATAGAGTTGCCCTCTATTATAGAGAGCTCCTTAGGAAACCTCTGCACAGTCAGGGGCATAGGTTTATCAGAGGCAGGGATGGACAGGCAAAACTAGCAAAAGTCACGTGCCTGTAGAGGACTGAGGTCTCCCAGCTGCTAGATAAAGCATGGTTTAGCTCTTTGAGGGTCCTCTATGTACAGTGCATGGAGGTGATAAGGGAGCTGTGACTCTAAGCAAACTAAGCTCTAACCGGGGTAATGTTCTGTTGCATGTTTTCAACTCAAGCCCCTTGGCTATTAAGCTTGGAATCTGAGTGCCTCGGGAGGCGCTGCTGCCCTGCCAGAACTGTTTGCCTGAATCTTTTCGCTCTGTCACTGAACTTTTTCCTCTGTCACTTGTAGAATCTCGTGGCCTGGATAGTACTTTGGATTTTGTGTCTATGCCAAGAAACGAAATAGAGTATTTCGAGACGTAGAAGTTGCATATTTTAAAAGAGATGTCTTGAGATTTTTATCTTGATATGTTGTCCACTCTGTGACACATTCGAGGACATCTACATACATTACAATTCGTGTGATTAAGATGCATAAGATTTCAGGCCTTTCCCCAAAAAAAAAATATGAACAGTTACACAAACATCTTAAAACACACACACACACACACACACACACACACACACACACACACACAGTGTGAGAGAGACTTTTACCTTAATTAACTGAGTCACCTATTCATGAAAGTTTAGTAACCAAACTGCTATGACTTCAGGGACATTGACTCTGGGCTTCATCAGACACCTGGAAGGTCCTGGAAAACCAAGCCCTGAGCATTGATTCAGAACTGCCCATACACTGGTGCTTTTCCATTTTACCACAGAGCTCTCCGAGGAGACTGTTTGTTATTGCTGAAGGACAACTTCTGGATATTTGTCCATCAAACACCAAAGATCCATTTAGTGTCCCAGTTTGGCAGATGTACAGTCTCTACCCATCCTCCGTCCTCCATAGTGAAGGATAGTTAGGGTTGTATGTGAGGACGCTGCGTCTTTAACATCCCCTTTCTCTGGGAGAGCAGGAACGACACCGAATGTTATTTGTCTTACTCTTTCCCATCAGTGTAAACAATCACGTTCCCTAGGGAGGATTTTTGGAAAGCAGCCATCTTTCCAGAGGCTTCTGTATGAAAACTGGCTGTACCCAGCCACTGAAGATGGCCAATTCTGTCTCACTCAGTTATTGAAGTTAAAGAGTGAGATGTATAGGTTTTGCTATGTGTATCAGGTATCGGGTGGGAAGGTGCTTAGTCAGTAAAGTACTTGTTGTACAAGAGCGGGGCCCTGAATTTGATCCCCAGCACTCGATTTAAAAAGCCAGGTACAGCCACGTGTGCCCGCAATCCCAGGGGGATGTAGAGACGACAGGATTTCTGAGACTCAATACCTAGCCAGTCAGCTTAGCTGAATCAGTGAGCTCTAAGTTCAGTGAGAGACCCCATCCTAAAAAATAAGGTGGCTGAGGGCAGGAAA